GCGATGAATGCATCAGTGTAGGAGATGTGAAGACGAGAAGATTGCTGTTTGCAGACGAATCTCATTTTGTTGGCATTTTTTGAAACTGATCTACAGTGTTCCCTAGAAAGGTTCGCAGTCGAGTGCGATGGGACCGGCATGCGTGTGAACGCATCTAAATCGAACGGGCCAGTGTTTTCTTGCCCTTCTGCTAGTTTTTCTCTTCAGGTTAACGGAGAAGCAAAGGAGCAGGTGGAGAAGTTTAAGTACCTCGGAGTCGTGTTCACTAGTGATGGAAAGTTTCAAGAGATCGACCGGCAGATTAGAGTAGCCAGTGGCGTTCTGCGTGAATTAGCCTGATCCATTGTGAGTAAAGCAGAGCTCAGTCTGAAAACTAAGCTCTCGATATTCAAGTCGATCTTTATCCCCATACTCACTACGGTCATGAATCGTGGACCATCACTGAAAAACTTCTAACCCGGGTACAAGCTGCTGAAATGGGCTTTCTTTGACGAGTCGCTGGCCTTACGCGTCTCGATATGGTCCGGAATAGCGACATCCGGGAGAGCCTTGGTGTACAGCCTTTGCTTCTCCAGATTGAGAAGTTACTGCTTCGATGGTTTGGGTAGGTGTGGACACCTGTTGCCAATGGCTCCAGGAAGGAAATCGAAGAAAATATTTCTTACCCAGCCGATCGGCAGAAGGCCCAGGGAACGATTACGATTAACCTTATGCAAATATGTGGAAGGAGTCTGCTCTCGACTAATGTTGTCTTCTGATATAGCTCAGAGTCCGGCACAGGATCAAAAACGTTAGAGAAGCACTGTCTGACGTGTCTGCCTGCTCGACTCGAAAGAAGAAACGATCGTGGGGGATGAAGATTATGAAAGATTTCTATAACGTTTTGAAAGTCATTTCGAGCTAAACGCAATGTAAATTTTGGTATTAAACCAACGTCTAAGAAAGCTGAGCTCAGAAGGTTTTTCTCAGTCTTTCACTGTTTCAGACGCTCTCCTGAAAAACACAGTGAAAAATTGTTTATATTGTTCAACACTGTGTGTATCTGTTTTTAACTTTTGTTTTCGGTGAGGGGGACTTAAACTGCTTCAGGATTTGTTGCAACATTAGACATATCCTGGCAAACGATGTGTTAGTGAATTTGAATACAAAGTGCAAAAAAAGCCGAATAACACAGATATTGGACCAACCCGTGGTCAGAAACAACGGTTTTAATAAGCAGACGTAATCTGAGCAGATTAAGGTATTGCTTTAACAAAAAATTGAGAACCACCCATATAGTCAAAAGTTAAGTACTAGTGCTCATATTCAGTTCAATGATTTTGTAGACGTCTAACAGTAAAGACGTTACACCACAAGGAGGTGCAAATCGACCGGTTGTTGTTGTTATTACGAAAATTAACATACACAGCGTTGCATGAAATGAAATAAATTCGTGTAGTTCCGAGGATGTCCACCATCTACTTACTGCTGGCTAAGAAACTTCACTGCCGATGCAAATTAATTAATCTTCCTGATATTCGTTGCCTTAAATCAGGAAAGTGACATCACGACCATGAAAACAACAGTAATCAAAAGGCACTTGTGCGATTACTGCGGATTAAAAACGCTAAAGATAATTTGGTCGCAGAGAGAAAGGTTAAGCATTACATCACTTAGAAAACCAAATCTTGGTGGTGTATCGAGTATTTAAAATCTTGTAAATTTCGAACCACCATAAACTTAAATGAGTCTGTAACAAAACATACCTCGCTGCGCATTAGACGCCATAAATTAAGCATGACACGCCCTGCAATATCAATATCGGCCATAGCCCACCAATCATCTTCAGATGAGCCGCGACTTTGCCGTGGCTCCACTAAAAACAGGACGTTGCCTCATTCAGCATACACTACAAGAGGATTTACGTGGAATCCTGGAACAGCGAGAGACCAAAGGATGCTTTAGAAAATCCGCGCGCTCGAAAAGATATCCCCATGACAGCATCTGAATTTCGTAACCCGTGAGAATGTCTGGATCAAACCTG